TTTTTATATAATGCAACGGACTAACTGAAATGTATGATATATCTTATATATTTAAACGAGCTATTCTTGTATATATATATATATATATCAATATATAATCTGAATCTCGGAAACGGCTCCAACGATTTTCATGAAATTTAGCACGCAAGGGGTTTCGGGGGCGATAAACCGATCTAGATTAGTCTTATATCTGGAAAAACGCGAATTTTCGAATTTTCATGCGATTTTCTTTTGCATTTTCACAATTTTTGCATTGTCACTTCTGGTGAGTGAGCGGCGCCACTGTGCAACTGTCAACATCGTGTCCGTATTTACATCAAGTTTAAATATATTTAAGTGAAAATAATCTAAAGAAAAATTAAATCTAATCTTAGTAAATTTTTAAATAAAACCTATGGGCAATATGTAAACATCACCAAGTCTTGATGTGTTGAAGAACAAATCAGCTTTTAAAAATTCACCTACCAAACAAATACAAAAGTGACAAACATAACATATAGATACTATCAGTGCAAAACCATCTTTTCTGTGTGTGATGACAATAAAACAAAATAATTTGTGAAGTGAAAGCGTCAAATATTAAAACATAAGTTTATAACCTCAAAAACTAATAGGTACTCGGTATAAAATTGCAATTCAACTAGGTATGATTGGTGCTCTTTTTCAATCAGCTTTTCTACTTCCAACTTCACACTTAAGATGGAGAACATAAAAAAGTTGCTAATAAACATGCAACAAGAAATAAGACAGCAGAAAACAGAAATGTTAGAAATGTTGGAAATGAAAGAAGACATTAAAAATACAATCAACAATAATATACTTAAATGAAAAATATAAACAGTTAGAAATAAAAATTGAAGTTCTTGAGAAAAAAATCCAGGAACAAAGTACCTCAATAAATAATTTAGAAAGACATATTAGGCGCAAGAACTTGGTTATGTTCAGAGTAGAAGAAGGTGAAAAATCCTATCATGAACTAGAGGAAAAAATAGTCTCAAACTAAACGGAAATAAAAAAGAAGTCTGCCTGTATCTCCAGAAACGCCTTACCTCAATTATAAACAAAAACTAACAAATAAACAACATACAAAGACAACTATACCTGGTAATATTAAAGACTTTATATTACAAAACCCAAAATTCACTTTCAACCACACAAATGATAACCAGGAACAACAAAAAACAACACAGCAAGATATAGTATATTAAACACCGTAGGAACCTCCTCATCTTTATCCACCAGTACGGCCGGTCACTGTGGGGGAGTTCAACCGTAACCCTCTAAAGAAAAACAGACATACAATGAACAAAGGTATACATATCTTTACCAGAAAAACTTCTAGAATTAAAAGCAGCATTTCCTACAACAAATCAAAAGAACACAAAGATAAAATTATAAAATTTATAGGCATATCAGAAACAAATTATATATTGAAAACAAAATTTGAGAGAGAGAAACCCTTTGCAATCATACAAGCATAATCTCCAACGGAGAGCTCTATGCAGGACTACTTTGGAGGAGGCTTTTAACCGAGAGGGGTCTATACATGAAAAATACATTTACTAAATAAATACATTTAATTATGAAATGAAATACCTAATTTATAACTATTGTCAGAATTAATCTATGGAAAGAAATTTTATTTATATTTATTATTGTGAAATGTTTAGTATTTACTCAATTGAATTATTTAATTTATTGTGATTTTTTATTTATTTATTTGTTAATGATAATTTATATATATACAATATCATTTCAAATAATATGAAGATTTTTAAAATAATTTAATTCCAGATTACAAAATTATTAGTAAAAAAATTATAAGTTAATAAATAGTCATTAAATTATATAATTTTATATTTCAGTAATGTGATAAAGACATTTTTTTTTATTGTACAACTAAAATGGATCCTTATATACTCTTAACCAAATAAAATTTTAATGGAATACTTTTATAAAAAGCTGTGCATACTTTTAAATTAAATTTATATACAGATAGGTAAAATTATAATGTTAAATAAATGTTTTTATGTAAATTTAGTTAGTAAGCCTTTATAATAAATAAATGAATAAATAAGTAGAGCTTTATTATTATTATGATTTCTTTTGCATTATTTCAATAAATTAATTAATAATTCCACGCTATATTATTATTATGTTCGATAATTTCGCACATTCAGATATAAGCATCATGGTCAAGCGGCCAATGCGCAAGTTTGACAACCACAGGAATCTGAGTTCGTATCCCGGTCGGGCACAAAGTTTTTAATTTTGTTTTTTTTTATGTTATTTTTTTGGCCAAAAACTCCGAGCAAAGCTCGGTCGCCCAGGTACTATATATATATATATATATTGGTTTGCATAATTAATTACCTTTACTTAAACAGTCAAACTGTTTATATTTCCAAGTACAAATAAGAAGTAATTTTCTGTCGTGTCTACGATTTTCTTTATACATAAAAAGTGAGTTATCGCTGGGGTGCGCCGGTAGGTACGCTCATAACAAACTGCAAAATGCTCTAGATTCCCGGAACTTTGCGCGGCGATTTTCTCGGCTGGAAACCTATGAAACGCTGACTGTAGCGTACATTCTCTTACGGAGTGTCACCGGCGACGCTGTCGGGAATTGCTGGATAAATTATGACGCTCGCTCCCTTTGCTGTTCCCGCAAATAATACGAAGTATAAAAATAAAGTCCGTTTGCAACTGACATGTCTGCTCTACATTGCCTTATAATTATTGGCGATCATATTTTGCTTTAGGCTTTTATATTGATCTTAGTTAAATTAGATAATGTATAATTTATTTTTTATTAACAAACGACTCATCGATGTTGTCCAATAACTCAACCAAAACAAATAAAAGGCCGAATCCGAATAATTATTGTTGTCGTCAAACGAATTCAGTGTACAAACGAAAACCAAACAAACGTTTGCCGACAATGTTTCGAATTCAGCGAACAAAGGGACCAATCATACAATTTTGAATTGCATTTTTACTCGCTAAGCACATAGATCCCAGCCTGACTCTACAGAGTAGAATTAGTGTATTTTGCGAATTCAACTCTGTAATTGCGGGCTTGTTTTGCCTCTCACTACGTGCGCCGCGTTTGAAAGTTTGTTATCATACACGGCTTTCAGCGTGTGGGGCATAATTTAGTTTTTCTAATTGTTGGTTTTGTAATTTTCATATATTTGAATACTAGTTTAATAAAATATATTTTTTATAACAATAATAACCGGTTTTTAGGTCACTATTATTCTGATTGGCACTGTATTTATTGAAAGTAGTAATTAGTTTAGGAAAAATATGTTTTTTGTGCAATATATATTTATTTCTTCGTATAAGTAGTAAATAAGTACATCTATACTAATATTATGAAATGGTAGAGTTTGTGAGTTTGTGACGTTGTAGGGGGTAATCTCTGGATCTACTGAAACAATTTAGATGAAATGTAATAAGAAGATAGTTTGAGACCCTGGGAAGGACGTATGATACTTTTTATCTCGGAAATTATCCCTTGAGGGGGTGAAAAGGGGATGAAAGTTTGTATGGGAAATCAAGCTATTATATAACATAATTTAAAATTATAACAATAATATAACATAAGTAACGTAAGTATATTATAATATTACCATATTTTAATTTGCCTATTACTGGAGTATTAGAATTTATTATTTGTATTTTACTGTCGTAAACCACAAAGATTAAAGTCAGAGATTAAATAATTATTACTATCATGTACATATATTATTTTAAAACTATAGTTTAGTAGCTACAGCTACATAGTGACACTAACAGATGCAGACTTAATAGGAATCCATCCTTATTTGAATAAGTTAACAACTTTATATCGTTCCTTTTATTTCGCTAGAGCGGAATGAAAAAGATATCCTTTGTGTTAAACGTTTAAGCGTCTTTGCTCGCCGAGTTTCAGCGGGACGAGTTAGTTGCATAAAACTTAGTTTGCAGCGGGACTTCTCGACGCTCGACGGCCGTTTGTAATTATGTGCATCTACGTTAATACTGTAAAGATGTTCTCAGAATAACGAATAAACACTAAGACGACGCTGCTGATATTGTGAGAAATTGCTTCTACGCATTATTGCTTGCTGCTTGACGACACGTTTGGCATTATACGATTTGAATATTTGGCATTGACATTTTTTATGACTCTCCATCAATTTTTAGAAATAAGTTTATTAATTATTATAAAAGGCATGATTGTACTCTTAATTAAAAGATTGTAATCTTAATTATTATATTATATTCTTTTTGTTTATAATGATGATTTTAATTTTACTTTTTATTATTATGTATTATTATCAATTTCTTTTGTAATATGACATTTATCTGTAATTATTATTATTTTGAAATTTTTGTACTTGTAATTCATGAATATGGAAATGCTATGTACACTTATAATTGACATGCATATAAGGTATATTATTATTACATTAATTAAATTGAAAATGTTTCATATGTATGTTGTAAGTGTGCTTTTTACTAATAAATAAAATAAATAAATAATTACATATAGGACTTAGGTCTGCACACATATTTGCTAAATTAATTATTATTAATGATGAAACATAGTTATTTTCCTTATCTATCTCACAAGGGAAGAATAGTCTAATGATATTTTATTTTTCTTTAAGGTCAGTATGTTTGTCAACCGAAGCATAAAATTCTCGTGCATGTTTAAACAGAGAGATAAACTCAAAAGGAGTTAGGCTTAATTCGACGTAAAGGAGATAATATTGTACAGTAGAACCAGACGGCGCCGGCGTCGCCCTCAATTAATAGCTTAATACTTGGTCAGGCGAAATTCATGATTGCCGGTAAAGCTAGCACAGATGCGGAATGCGATACTCCCCGTTTGACTTAATAAAATTACCTTACGACTAATTGATGTGGAACATAGACCATGTATAAATATGGCATGATATTTATTATCATAGTATAAATAACAAACATAAAATATGCTTAATTGTCCACAGGGATACCCACCTCCACCCAGGCCACCACAGCCGTCCACACCAAATGCCCATGATCAAGACTCAGTAAGTGGCTCTAATAACATTAATAATAATTAATTATTACGACATGACAAAAGTTTATGCATCAAATCAATATTTATTACAACATTTTTATTATGATGAAAGCTTTTGTTGTAAAAATTATCGTATACGTACAAACAATGCTACACAATCGTAAACACCGTTGCCGAATGATATATTCAGCTATGTCTCATTAGCAACCTCAATGCATCCAAAATGACGTCAGTAAAAACAACATTAATTATAATCATAAATGTCGTGCCAGTGGAAAATAAGTGAACCTCGCGTGTCTGTTTATGAACCGACACTACAGTCTACAGTACACTTCATACTCTATGCTCTCGTAGTCAGCGAACCGTCCGCGCGACACTTGACAATAAGCTTGTTTGCTAAATTGTGCCGCCAGCCAGCCGACGCGCTGCAAAAGCAAAACCTACTCTTATTTGCGTGGGCGTGAATAATTTTATTTATAGTCCACATTGTTTCCACGCTTAAAAATGAAACCAATTTCCTATGCAATGCGCGCAGGAAATCGAAGCATTATTTATACTTGAACATATTTTGATATTGAATTCAACGTGAACAACTCCTCTCGTACCTAATCGATTTATATTTGGGATTAACATGTATTCACTTTTGCAACGTCCTGCTATTTCATTAAGCGTAGATCAAAGCACGCGTTTTCATTTAGAAGACTCGTAGCCGCAGGCTTTGTTGATAGTAGAACACTGTATTGCGAATTGAACGATAAAAAAGGAATTGTCGGTGACAGCAACCCTAGGGAGTAGGGCTGCCACATGACTAGTCGTAAGTGGTCTAATGAAAATAAGTTTTTAAAATCTTTTATTCTCGAGCGGTCTTTATGTTTAAATATTCTGTAGGTCGCAGTTGGTTGGATGCGGGTCGACAGAATAGCATAGATCCGAGTTTTGTTGTTTTAGGATCCCCTATCAGTCATGTTGAGCCCTTTCTCAAGTGGCTTACATTTTTATACGTTACGTTCTAGCCGTAAGATATAATACATTAGACAAAAATATCGTATTTAAGTACAACCCTACCTTTATATTCTGAGAGTTAAAACGAATTTGTTTGATGTTGATTGATACAGTTAGTCGAGAGCGTTGTCTTGCGACTCGTTCGTTCGGGGGAAACCAAATGAGTGGAATTATTAAACCGGGGCCCGGGCGATGTGTCGCTTTTTGTAATGAATGTACCGAACGTTGCCGAAATCGAGGGGACCGCTCCTTTCTACTGTAGCGACTGAGCGCGGCCCACTGCCAAGTCGTCGACCCTCGCGTTACTGTTTTGAGCGAAATTCTGCCGAAGTATTTTATTCACTTTTTATGCTTCTCTATCTCTTTTTATATTTCTATCAGTGTATTTTTAGAAATTGGTCAGTCAACTAATTTAATTATTATGGTTTAAATTCTTACTGAATGATATGTCGAAACATTTAAATCGGAAAAATTAAATGTGGTCAATATTCATTTAAATTACTTAGCTGTAAATACGAAAGTCGATTTCTCTTCGAAAATGTTTTTGTAGCTATAAGCAAGTCATTCAATGCAAGTAACGAGTTGAGGTCGAAAAGGGTCTGATTCGAATTATTTATTTATGCAACTCTACGTCGGGCGGTGAATGACAGCATAAAAGAAATATTATGCATCCTAGAGAGCGAGGGGATGCTTTATAAGAATGTCTTTTTTACAATGCTATTCATTAATGCCACGACTGCACCCCGTCCCATATAATACGTTTAGGCTTAGAGTACTCTCTATACCCTGGCAAGGAGACAATTTTTGAATGGCCAAAGAATTAATACTATAATTATCACATTGGAATATATGTATTATGTATATGTTATTTTTAAAATAATCACTTCACTTATGACACAGGCACAGATATTTATAATAGTTTATCGTTGCAATTTTTTTTATTGTTCATTTAAACGTTACTCGTGTAATGGTGAATACTTGGTTACAATAACACTAAAAGCAATTCACGTAGCAATAAGTACCAATGTAAAGTGCGAGAGACAGGGCCGCTCGCTGTGCACGTTCATAATAAACGAGATTGATTAGGGCGGTGTAGACGCAAATGAATGACGGCAGAGTACGTAATCAGCCGACAGGCGACCGCCCGCGTCTGTGTGAAAATAAAGCAAAACAAAATTTTTATCCAACAAAATTTGGACGGAAATTTTATCGGAAAGTCGTATGTGTGTTTACATTGTTTACCGATCCAAATCAAACATTCTGTGACACCGATACAAAAGATTTCAGCGACTGAAACTGTAACGTAGTTTGTGTCGCGTAACATGTTACTGTGAAAAATGGAACCCCATTCCAACAATATTTTGACTGTAAAATCTTTCATTGAGAAAATAAAATTTAGAAATATGTTGAAAAAAATACTAATCAAACTTAATTTGCAAAAATAAAAATGTTACTTATTCGTGTTCCATTCGGTATCTAATAATTTTATAATACATGCTAAAGCTTTTATTACTACTATTATTCAGCTGAAGATAATTTGAATGCATATATGTATGTGTAATGTATATATATTTATATATATTCTAATTTAGTTTACATGTAATTTTAAGAACATAAAATTTAATAAGGAAGTGACTTTTTATTTTATTACGCCTAGTAATTATCTGGGAACAACCTTTACTTAAGTGTAAATTCGAATAAATATTTAATCGATCCAAATATTCATCAGCAAAATTAAAAAAAAAAACATAATAAGAGAATTTAATATTTCTGACAAAATATATTTATAATTTAAAATTTTAATATAACATAGTGTCTACGAAGTAAAATTGCTAAGAATGTTCGTTTCCAGCATTTAATTTTATAAGGGAGCATGTTGCACAATTCTGATTTAACCATACTCTCAGCGTAGGAATTCTCATAATGGCAATTGTGTTTTGTTTTTTACCTTAGTACGTAACGAATATTTATATTTTACGTTTTAATTTCTAAATAAAATATATGTAGGGTACTGAAAATGTTCAATAAATCGAAGTTCTCTCGGTAAAATAAACATACTTATTAGTTTTAAAAGAGGACATTTTAAAGAGACGAATAATGAATCCCTCGATGATAAAAGTTTATCGCGGGCGTATATTTTATTTGGCCAGTCGTTTGGACAGATGGATGGAGTGGCCGGCCGCATTCGGCTCGAATGTAATTATTGCGGTCCGATTTCGATAATGCGCCGCGAGGCCGGATGCGAACAAAATGTGGTCGGCACTCGTTATACTTGCATTTTAATAATTGATACTGCTCCAAAAACAGATAAAGCACTCTCGTGTTGTTTCGCTCCGAAAATACGACAAAAAGCACTAATGCATTAATTACAAAGTATTGTATTTATGAAACATTTCGAATGATTAATGCATCCAATAATTATTCAGATAGATAATTATTGTTTGTTTCAATTAAAGTTTAAATTTTGTACTTTTCGAATTGCGTTTCGAACTGGTACAACCGTATAAATGTTTATATACGATGTTACGACTTCTTAATAAAAAGATTTACCCCAAATTACAGGGTGCGTAGGTCGAGCAAAGTGGGCGGTTTATTCGCGTTGTAAAAACCTTGGATCTCCGGTAACGAGGTTGTAAACCGGACCCGTCCCGCAACCATACCAATCGTTTCTTAATAGCCATATATATTCACGCAACCAACGGGTATCTTGATTTACATATAACACTGTACATTCATATAATTTCATAGTTGTTTTTTGTGTTACATTCGGTTTTGTAAACCTAAGTTATTTTTATTTAATTTACTTACATTTCCTTCAAATGCGAAATGTAGTAGTCTGATTAGGTATTATCACGAACTACTGTCATACAATGTTATAACAAAACGTGCTGTGTTTCCCCGACTAACGAGTTCCAGGGCTATTACAAGTTATGTAGAACGAAATGTTAAGAGAGCCGCAATGAACCGCTAAAGTACGTGGTCGGCGAGCCGCCGAGCCCCGTGTGGAGCAAGCGTGCTCTGTCGCCTCTGTGGTTACTTTGTTAGCTAACTGCACGAGCACACGCTTAAATAATGCCTGCATTACCATATTTTGTTCATACATACACTAACGTTTATCCATCAACCTAAGCTAACTTACAGATTATTACAGCTCACGGTGAACTTTATACGTTGTTCGCAAAGAGGGGTTATAATGAATACGAGAAGTAAGGCTTTATCAGCATATTCATGGAATGATTATTATTATTATTAAATATTATATTATAGGTACGTATTATAAGATGAAGGCGTGATGTTATTGCACGAGTGCTCGCTTTGAATGTGTCGTGTCGTATTTTTAAGTTTATGAGCTCTACTAACTGCTAACTTATAACAAAATATTTATATTTAATCAGTAATTCTACTTTAGAAACATTATCCCCCATAAACTAAGCTCTTGACCTTTAATTATGTATAATGATCTATATAAGGGCTTTTTAAATAAGAACACGTGAATAATAGATGAAAATATAATTTTTATGGCAGTTATTAACATTGAAGTGCGAACAGGTGAAGCAAAATATGTTTTAGTGACGGTGTATTGTTCCAGCGAGGGACGTTTATGACATCAAAGAGGATCCTATCGCGAACCCTCGCCGTATCGTTATTGTTTTAGAATGCCTACTCTAATGTGAATGTGTACTGTTGCCGTTGTCGTAAAAGGGGCCGTTTTATAGCGTCCCCACGTATTCGAATTGGGGCCGAATAGTCACCGTTCCGGGTGGTCGTAACCTGAGACCGCCTCACCTTGCCTTGATCATGAATTTTCATAAACTTATAATAGTACTAGCATTGCCCGCGGCTCCGCCCGCTTTCAGCTGACCAAAAACCAAATTCTTAGGTTTTACATATTAGTATACTCTTACATTGCAGTTTTTGTATTTTTTCTTAGAAATGAGACATTTTCCCGCGGTAAAAAGTATCCTATATGTTGACCCGGATAACCAGCTATCGCCATACCAAATTTCA